AAATTTTGTATTTTTCGAGCGATGAATGAAGTCCAAAGGGAATGGAACGAAGAGGAACTTGTCCGTAGCAACACGGAACGTCCGCTCTTTGGTGGAGGATATTTGAGATGCCAGAGTCGGTCGTGCTGTTCCGTCCATGGCTGCGACTGCTGTTGACAGGAAATGAATTTCCAAACTTCTACATCGCAGGCATGCAGGAAACAAAGTGGTTTGGACGTGACATTCGATGTGTCGGCGGCAGCACCTTTCTATATTCGGGACGGCCTCTGCCTGGCGATGGTGAAGCGGCGAGATGTAACGAGGGAGCAGGGATAATGATGAATACGGGTGAAGTGGCGGCGCGGTGGCGAGCAGGCGAGCAGTGGAGCGAAATCAGCTCAAGGGTCATCATTTCTCGCTTTCTCATTGGCGGAATGGATGAGGTCCTGCAGACCGGAAGGAGACGCCTCTCTGATTATTTCATGACATCGATCAACGTTAATGTGCCAATGTGCAAGGCCCCTCCGAATGTCAAGAATCAGGTTATGACGGTGCTCTGGACAAGGAGCTCACCTTCCGCCTTGCAAAGCCCTCTCGTGCTTTTGGCGCTCTTCGGAAGTCGATCTTCCTGTGTAGCGGTATATCCATCAAGTCTAAGCGCCTCATCTACAAGGCCATTGTCCTCCCTACCCTCTTCTACGGAGCAGAGACTTGGCCCATGAAGGCCCAGCAGATGAATCGCCTAAATCTATCTCATCACTCGTGCATCTATGCATCTTAGGAGTATCAAGGAGCAATCAGCACTCCCATCATCTCACTACTACTGCTCTCGCCCAGAGAGCGCGTCTTCCTGAAGACATTGGCACTCTCTTGCGTGAGTACCGTCCGTGTTGGCTGGGTCATGTTGCCCATATGTAGACTCGGCCCGGATTCCTCACCAAGTGTTGTTTGGGGAGCTTGAGGCAACCAGAGGAGGAGGAGGAGGAGGAGGAGGAGGAGGAGGAGGAGGAGGAGTAGCAGCAGCAGCAGCAGCACCAGCACCAGCAGCAGCAGCAGCAGCAGCAGCAGCAGCAGCAGCAGTAGTAGTACTTGGTCCGCGTCAGCAATATTGTCGCTTATCTTTCGACAATTTGAACTTAGACTTTGGACATCACCGCGTGTACTTGAGATGATGAAACTTGGTATGATGGAAGGTAAGGTACAGGATGACAACTGACCATGAGGAATTTATTGTCCAAGGAAGGCTTCATACTTTTTTGGTTCTCGTCGTCGCTGCTCTTGGCGCTGGTGACAAATATGTTTGCTCGGGATCGACGCTCTCGCTTTAACAAGCTCATCTCTCTTCCTCTCCTCTGCCTTGCTATGTTCTAAAGGGAAGTTGACCGTGACAGGTACCTTCTCTATAAGACTTCGCGCGGGCAGCTCGACTGCCTGTGTGGTTCAAATCAGTCGCCGTTATTTGCAAGATTTATTTTGAACGACGACGGCTAAGTACTTGCAAATCTCGACGATGCGCTGGATACTCCGATCGTTGAGCTGGATGTGAGGGAACTGCGATCTTAGCTTGGCGAGCGATCCCTGAGGCGAGCGATGTCGGCCGTTTTGCAAAATGGAACTGACCCCAAGTATAAAACTCGGATGTTGAGCCATAAATAAATGTAGAAGAGAAAAGGACATATGGATACGAGTTAAGAGTAACTCTCCATCACTGTAACATGATACTTTATACAGTCAGAAAGTGCAATAACTAGGCACAAAACTGACAGAGTACTGAAACATTCGACGTCCTGACACCTAGCTTCAACACATCTCCGTAGTGTCAGGACGTCGAATGTTTCAGTACTCTGTCAGTTTTGTGCCTAGTTATTGCACTTTCTGACTGTATAAAGTATCATGTTACAGTGATGGAGAGTTACTCTTAACTCGTATCCATATGTCCTTTTCTGATCCCAAGTAGCCGATTATTTTCTTGTGCTGCTCTTGCCTGCACAGTGTGACAAGATAATCTATGTTGATGCGGCGCTGTATCAATCATGTTGATGCGGCGCTGTATCAATCATGTTGATGCGGCGCTGTATCAATCAGAATCCCCCACCTGTCGCTCCCTAAATCCACTCGAAATCTAGCTAGACCTTTCAGGTACTAGTAAACTAACTTACTAACCAAAATTGGGATGAAATGGGCTGCCAATTGAGCATTGGCGACATAAAAACGAAGCTGAAAGATAAGCGACAATATCGCTGACGCCGACCAAGTAGTACACTGCTGGCAACTGAAATCCGACTCCCTTGGCGGTGCGCCGCGCCGCCAAGGGAGTCGGATTTCAGTTGCCAGCACTGTAGTAGTGTGTGTGTCTCTTTAGCTACGACGCGACCCGAGTCATGTGTCGGGGGCAGAAGCGGAGAGACGAAGACGAAGAATATCCGCTTTGCGACCTGGAACGTCCGAACGTTTGTCAATGCTGACGGCTCTGTCGAGACTGCCGCTCGTCGGGGGCGCGCGAGCGAGGATAGAAAGATATAGAGCGTCGTATGGTGTTCCCTGTTCTCGCTGCAACCATCAGTTCCGTCGACAGAGTGACCTGAGTCGTCATCTCCGTTTCTGCTCCTGACAATGACTCTGGCTCCTTTCGGAGTGGTGTGGCCCTTGTGGCAACCAAGCTACAGTAGTAGTAGTAGCAGTAGTAGTAGTAGTAGTAGTAGTAGTAGTAGTAGTGTGTGTGTGTGTGTGTGTGTGTGTGTGTGTGTGTGTGTGTGTGTGTGTGTGTGTGTGTGTGTGTGTGTGTGTGTGTGTGTGTGTGTGTGTGTGTGTGTGTGTGTGTGTGTAGGATGGTGTGTACGCATGTGCGCGGGTTAGGCTGTGTACATGTGGGTGTGGGGTTCTCACATAATTCATGCACAAGATACTTCTGTAACGTTGAAATTGTGGGCGCAAGTTATGCGATCGAGTCCACCAACTAAACTCGATTTTGTGCAGTCAGACGTGCACAATCCAGCACAAAACTGACAAGGAGTACTTTGACATTCCACGGTATGAAAGTCAGCTTGAGCACTGCTCGATATTTTTTCATTAACCCATTCATCCTTTGATGCTTTCTTCAACACGCATTTGATATTGGAATACACTCGGATGGTGAACCAAGAAAAATAGATAAAGTAGTTTCAAATAAAAACACCAAGGAACTACAAGTCTGGCTAAAATCTCCACTAAAACAGACTACAACTAACTGCCAATAAGCTCTAACATGTCTGGCACTTTCTCCTCGTACAGATTGTCATTATCACTTAGAACCTTCCAAGTTGGAACGGTCTGTTGGAGTGCGCCTCCAATATTTGCTAGAGCTGACAGGCAGTTAGTTTCAAAAACGTCAGTATCGTCGGTCAGTGTCGTGTAATGCTATCGCATGATCTGATTGTCAAGTAGCTGGTGGTGCTAGTGGACACTGTAGCATAGCTTGTAGTTACTTGGTCCTTTTTAATCAATTTTTAGCCTGATGATGGCGCAAGCATGAATCTCGGAGGTACAGCAATACAACTTTGTTCCACCTTATTTGCACGGCATAGTTTATATTTTCATGTCTGTAGCATCTAACGATGCTGTAAATGAATTTCAATTCCATTAATTTTAATTTGCTTTTTTATTGTGATGTATGTCCTGACAGACACATCGCTCACATCATGCTAACACATTTGTCAGCAGATATCTTTAGAAACAACACTGGCTTGAGAGAAATGTAAGTAACCTGCACTTTGACCTGATTGTGAAGAAATGCTGAAGCGTTCTTGAAAGTTGTTTTAAGAGTCAATGTCTGTAATGACCGAATATTACCCGACATGGCCAAAAATCCGATTTTGCTCAAAGTTGGCTCCTTTTATCCCTATGTGGACTTCAGTTACACATGATGGCAGTTCAGAAACACTTCTGATACATGTCGAGGTTAGCTGTATGCTCAATCTCTGGCTAGCTGTATGCTCAGTCTATACATTCTTGATCTTATCTTTTCTTGTTTTCTTTTCTATGAGTGTCTCTTTTTCTTTTTGAAATGTTTTACTGCCAGAATCCCCCACCATCACCGAATTCCTCGCAGGTCAGCTTGCTATGTCCTCACTGTTTTGTGTTCTCTGTTTCTTCTTTGTTCGTGATTTGTCATCTGTGTATGCTGGTTCTTTTTCCAGTTTCTCTTTTGTTCACCTCCCACTCGCTTCTCATTCTACCTAAGTGTACCCTTCCCCTAGTCCTCTGCTCTCACATCCTCCCTTCGATTCTGTCCATGCTCTTGTATTTTCAATTTCATGTAGTCTGTCCGCCGTTCCATTTCTACTTCGTTGAATTTTGTTTTTTTGTTTTTGTTTTTTTTTGTTTGTTTGTTATCGTTTAGCTTCCGTTTTGCTTGTACGAATAGCGTTCTTGTTTCGTTTCCCCATGATTTGTTTCTCTCTTTATGTTTTCGTCATGAGGCGTTGGCATAATCAGTTTGGCACATCAGAACCTGGGCAACCTCGACCGAATGGGGGCCCCAGCAACACGCACATGCTTATAATAATAATAATAACTGCCAGAAGTCGTCTTCATATAAGGAGGCAGACATGCCTGTTTGTTGTACGACTTTGAATATATCCAACCAACTAACCAACCAACTCCGTTCCTTAGATATGGCCCAACAATTAACGAGAACCACGCACTGAAACACCTTGAAACGAGGTCCAATAACGATGGGTCATTGCTGCTCACAACGTCTCTAGTCTTTCCTTCTTCTTTTAGAGCTGGTTATGTGAACATCAGGGCATAGCTTAAGGATTTCATTTAGCTCGGACAAATGTCCTTCCGTTTTGAAATCTGTCCGGACATGCCCGGACATTTTCCACAACACATTTTTAGGGTGTTTCTTTTTTTTTAGTAGTACAGTGAAAGGGTGAAAAATAAAAGATGACATCTTCCTCTCAAGAGCGAACAACTGCACTAGCAGTCCAACCCATCGATTCAAGTGCGAAGTCGACACCACCGGTCGAAAGTGTGAATTGACTGTAGCAACAACGCGTCGCACAGGCGGATCAAGTAAATATAGTGAAGTCTACGCCTGAGACTACGGTGTACGTGTTAGTTGTACGAAATGCAAGTCGCATTTGGCACGAAGCTCCGAAGAAAGCCCAACTCTGCATAAAAAGGTCGAAAGGTCGCTGCTCTTTTTTACTTTTTGACCGGACACTATGTCTTGTGAAATTGAAAACGTCCAGTCAGTGGCCGAAAATGGCCGGAAAATGTCCGATGTCCGGCCGTTAATCTATGCCCTGGAACATAGTAAAAAAAATGAAAAACAACAACACATGACGTCACCTCCCGACCTGCTTTCAAACAAGAAATCTGCTCACTGCTGATTAACTCAATCTGCTCCTGCAGCACTCACCCTCTCCCATACTTGTAAAGTTCAAAGTGATGTAAATCACTTTCCAACTGTTTAACCCACAATCTCACCTTCTCATAAATTTATCTCTTATTGGCGATGGTGCCATCGTGAGAATAAAGAATTCAACACAGCGCAGCCAAACCAACTATGTTCGCGTACACAGATCCAAGTTACCTAGTATTGTTGAGCCGTCCAACTTTCGACTGGCGACTTGCTGAGCCCCTCAAATGAAGCGATGAATTCAACTTGTCCTATTACCAGCCATTGCGAAGGCCATCTTTATGGGCCAGTAGCAGCAAAGCAGCAGCGAGACTACATTCTGAAATTTGGGGTAGACCACCACCATAGTTTGCTTCAACATGTCCTCAAGCGCCAACAAGTGGTCTTGAATGAAGTTATCCGTTAAAAGTCACATGGGAAGTAATCTAATTTCGAGCTCCCCAGCGGCAATGCTCTAGCCGAATCCAACCTTGCGGCAGAAAAGCACACACGGAGAACCTGCATTATACCTTTTCGCTTTGCTACCGTGACTGAGACACCACGACTCTGCACCCTGTTAGCCACATGCTCCGAAAGGGTCAGTCTTGGCATTGGACAGCTGACGGTGCAGCAGCATTCAAGACCATGAAGGCAGCTATCGGATCAGGTATTCATGCATTTTGACCCCTAACCTGCCAGTACAGTTGGCTACTGACGCCTCACAAGACGGCCTGGGAGCTGTGCTCTCGCATGTTCAGCCCGACGGTATGGAACGGCCTATCGGCTTCGCATCACGTTCGCTTACCGAGACCGGGATGCGGTAAGCCCTAATAGATAAGGAGGCCTTATCTATCGTCTGGGGTGTCCATAAGTTTCACACGTATCTGTTCGGACGATCATTTGTGCTACTGACAGACCACGAGCCTCTGACAGCCATTTTATTTTTTTACGTCATCATTATCGTATTGATGTCAGAAATATTCATGGGTGCATCATCCGCACATATGCTACAACAACCTTCCGTAAGTTAATGTCGAAAACTTGGCAAGAATCACATTTTGATCCCAAACTTGGCAAAAATCATAACCTCTAAGCACTTCTCCCCTTTATACCTTTTTTGTATCTTCTTTCTCTTTAGAGATGTGAGTAACAATCAACTTGCAAGCCTACCTGCTGGGATATTTGGTGACCTGACGTTTTTAGAGAAAGTGTAAGTGAGCAACTGCAATCATAGGATTTAAAAAAAATAAAAGAACGGTATAGTGAGTGAGAAAGAGAGAGAGAGAGAGAGAGAGAGAGAGAGAGAGAGAGAGAAAGAGTGAGGAGAGAGAGAGAGAGAGAGAGAGAGAGAGAGTGAGGGAGAGAGAGAGAGAAAGACAAAGAAAGAGATGGATAGAGATACAGATAGGGGGAGAGAGAAAGAGAGAGATAGATAAGCTAGATAGAGAGAGATAGAGAGAAAGAGGAAGGGAAAGAGTAAGGGAGCGAGAGATAGAGAAAGAGAGAGAGAGAGAGATGTATGTGTAGATCATTCGGTACTTGTCTTTTATCGTTGCTACAAGAGAACATCTGTGGGTGCTCATCCAATGCATTTGCAGATGTGCACGCTTCTCTTGCAATGGGCGTATACATGGTGGGTTTTTGTGTGTACGTGTGTGTATGTGTAAATTGGGGGTGAAACAACTATGCCGAACATTCGAGTACTGGCTCGGATTTTTCAAAAATAGATCAGAGTACTCGTTCATCCATGGTTAAATCATTTACCACAGCAATCCACAGTTTCAGGGCAGCCAGCAGTAGACGTTGATGTGCAGACGGTGTGGTGAACATTTTAACACAAGTAGAGAGAGCCTAAATGACCCTCCAATCATTATACCGAGGGAAATGACTGCATATTGGTTCAATTATGTGATTTTAAAGGCCCTTGGTGAGCAATTGTGAAGCCATGAAGAATAATCGAATACTCGAAAATTCGATCGGAGAAAATCAGAGTACGACCTACTCAAACTCGGTATCTCAGTGCCAACTTTCACCCCTGGTGTATATGTATGTAAACTCAATCTGCGGACAGAACTGTTTTGTCCTTTGTGGACTCGTCAGCGCAGCATCATGAGAGAGAAAATGAAGTCGAACCTGATGACAATGAAAATAAATTTTCCAAATCAGATCTATACCAGTGTATGTGTGTGTGTATGTGTGTGTGTGTGTGTGTGTGTGTGTGTGTGTGTGTGTGTGTGTGTGTGTGTGTGTGTGTGTGTGTGTGTGTGTGTGTACTCCACCTACTCTCGGTGAGCTTCAGACTGCCTTTAAGTGTATGAAGTGCGGCAAGGCTGCAGCATTCAGACACGGATGCAATCTATAGCAGAGGAAGTCCTTCCGGACTCGCAGTGTGGTTTTCGTTGTGGTCGAGGTTGCAATGACATCATTTTCGTGGCCCGTCAGCTCATCGAAAAGACCATTGAGCATGATGATAAGCTATGTGTACTGTTCGTAGATCTCCGTAAAGCCTATGACTCGATCCCCAGTCTTGCTCTTTGGTCAGTCCTTGAGAAGCTAGGTGTACCTCCACAGATGCTTCGGGTAATTCAATCTCTGCATGATGGTATGTCGGCAGCAGTGCGAGTTTCAGGAACAACAACGGATCGCTTCTCCGTACACAACGGACTCCGTCAAGGATGTTTGCTTGCACCACTGTTATTTAACCTATACTTTTCTGCTGTCGTGCACGAGTGGCATTCTGGTTGTGTCTCTGCTGGGATACCAGTGGCATATCGTCTTGGTCGGAAGCTTGTCGGTGACCGCACAGATAAGTCTCGCCTGTCACGCTGTTCTGTCACGGAATCACAATTCGCTGATGATGCAGCCATATACACACAGTCAGTCGAGGACATGGGAGCTGCTGGCAGTTCCTTCGTTGCCACTGCAAGCACGTTTGGCCTTACTGTAAGCTTCACCAAGACCAAAGCTATGGTAGTGAATGCCCCGTCGCCAACATCCGGCCTTTTAGAGTTGCCTGAGGGTAGCATTGAGCTGGTGCCTGATTTTACGTATCTCGGCAGTTGTATTTCTTCGGATGACTGCTGAGATCGCCTTCGCCAGGACTTGACTCGCCACGCCCGATTCTACTCGTGACTTGAACACTGTTGGTCCCTTCGGGACCTGCCATCATCTCCGGTTGGGCATATTGTATTGTATTGTGTTTGTTTGGGTGTGTGTATGTATGTGTGCGCGCGCGCGCGCGCGTGTGTGTGTGTGTGTGTGTGTGTGTGTGTGTGTGTGTGTGTGTGTGTGTGTGTGTGTGTGTGTGTGTGTGTGTGTGTGTGTGTGTGTGTGTGTGCTGAGATGACCACATCACCAATCACTAACTACGTGTAAGGTGGGGTGATCCCGACACCATCCGCACGAAGGTGGTGCACCGCCGCCTTGAATGTCTTGGACATGTTGCTCGGATGGAGAACCAACGGCTGCCAAAGCAAGTTCTCTTTGGCACGCTTCCGTCGCGTCGTCCAGCTCATGGCCCTCGTCGGCGCTGGAAGGATTGTATTATGTCTGACCTTCGTTCTCGCGGCGTCGAGGGGGAATGGCGAGCTGAATGCGAGTTGCGTTCCACCTGGCGCTCGGCGTACTCAGCACCGGTAGATGCCCAGCAGACCCCCCCCCCCCTCCCGTTACCTGCTACACCTGCGACCGACAGTTTGCACTCCCCAGTGATCCCGCATGCCACAAGTGTAAGGTTGAGCGTGCGAAGCCGGTTGCGGAGCAGAAAGGTGCATGCCAGTGTGGAGAGTGTGGCCGTTGGCTAAAGTCCCGTGGAGGTCTGGCAAGGCACAGGTGTACTTACCCCCAGTCAGCAGTTGGTGCACCCCTGCCGCTGCCTGCTTCTCCGCTGTGCTGCGTCGCTCACTGCCAGGCTTGTGACCGCTGCTTTGCGTCTACATGTGGCCGCGTCCGTCATCACTGCTCACGGACTTGTAGTCGTCCGACTGTTCAGGACAGTCAGGGTTTCACATGTGTTTGCGCCTGCTCCCGCCGATTTCGCTTACCGCATCACCTGGATCGTCACAGGGCTGTGTGCTCCTCCTCTCTCTCAGCTGCCCCCCGGGGCTCACGTAACCCTCATGGCAGTGGCTCAACAGGACAGGACAGGTGTGTGTGTATGTGTGTATGTGAGTGTTTGTGTGTGTTCACGATCTGCTGTCTATACTGGTTACCCCAGCAAGTGTAGAGTGTGCATATGTAACTGTCTTGGCCATTTTATGCCGATGTACTCCGTGTGGTGTAGATCAGAGGTGCATTGGTGGTCGATTCACATGGCTTCGCCAGTTGTGTAGATTCGACAGTTATCTGGCGCAAGTCTTGATCTGTCTCATTCAGATCCTGTTTGCTATCGTTACTATAAGAGAAAATCTGTGGGTGCACATCCAGTGCATTTGCAGATTTGCGTGCTTCTCTTGCGACGGGCGTATACATGGTACATGGTACATGGTGTGCACGATGGCAACGCTTTTTCTGGCGCCTGAATCTCCCACTCGTGGCGGATTGGCGAACCTACGAGTGGACAGAGACCCTGATCTACACTTCAAGAAATCTGCCAAAGCATGAAGAGAGAGGAGAACGCGTTGCCTGGTCCGCGTCGGATCCTGGAATGCTCGATCCATCGTTAAAAGCCAAAGGGACTGCTCCCAGGGATTTCGGCAGTCCAGGGACCGGACGGGGCACCGGCATGTTTGCTCCTCTCCCTCCTCCCGCAATGGCACCACGTAACCTTTACGGCAGTGGGCCGGCAGGACAGGACAGAATGAGGAATTGTGTGCGTGTGTGTGAGTGTGTGTGTGTGCGTGCGTGTGCGTGTGTGTGTGTGAGTGTGTGTGTGTGTGTGTGTGTGTGTGTGTGTGTGTGCGTGTGTGTGCGTGTGTGTGCGTGTATGCGTGTGTGTGCGTGTGTGCGTGTGCGTGTATGTGAGTGTGTAGACAGGTAATACTAGTCAGAATAGCAGTGCATATTATATGCTTCTAAGGTGGGGACGTAGTCATGACACTCAGAGCTTCAAAACTTGCTTCTTACTCCTGGCGAGCTCTTGAAAAGTGTTTGATGTTGTTTCAAATCTTTATTCTCACGATAGCCAGTGGCCAATAAGAGATAATAATTGTAAGAAAGGAGTAAGAGTGAGGAAGAATTGGGTGGGCAGGGCCAAGGGGTTAATGACTACTTAAGTGTACGGGCAGGTGTGGTCGCTACACGAGCATACAGAGTTGTGTACTTAAGTGTACGGGCAGGGGTGGTCGCTACACGAGCATACAGAGTTGTGCAACAGCAGGGATATCTGGGATTTGAAGGGAGTACGAGAAGGGATTTCGCGAAGCTGGGTGGGCAAGCAATTAAAGTAATGAAGGGCCTTGTACAGGGGAGAATGGAGACAGCGGTCAGTCCGCGTAGTTGGCAAGTGCCAAGTACGAGAGCGACGTAAATTATACGAAGGTTGCACGTTGCTAGCAGTATGCATCGAGAGTATATGTGGTGGGGCATAATTGTGGCGCAGAGAATGCGCGAAGAGTATATGTTTAACTTCAAAGCGTGAAAATAATGTTGGCCATTTGATGCGATGCAAAAGGTTGGAGTGTTCTAAGTGTGTGTAAAGGGGAAGGTGGAGACATATTCTGGTGGCTTTCCACTGGAGTCGTTCTAGCCTGTGAAGGGAAGTGTGTGACAACGGTGTGAGAGCATTGCTCGCATATGAGAATATAGTTAGTATGTAGGTCTGATAGATGTGAGATAAAGAATTAATGGTGAGTGTAGACCTTAGTCTCAAAAGAATATTAACAGACTTGAGTGATTTTTTTACTATGTATTCAACATGCTCCGTCCAACGGAGGTCATGCTGAAAGATTATTCCGAGGTGTCTGTGTTTTTGTGTTACGGTAAGCGGACTATTCCCGAGGGTGATCTTGGGTAGCTGTTCAGGGGGGCGGTTATTTTGGTAGAACGGGAGGATGACTGTTTTCTTTGTGTTAACCAGCAGGTGCCATCTTTGAAGCCAGTCTCCAGCTACTGTGACACTCTGTTGTAGGTTTCGGGTGCAGTCGTGAAGAGTTCTCGCTATGGAAATCAGAGCGGTGTCATCTGCAAATTGGCTACAGGTGGTAGCGGGATTCTCACATGCGTGTGGAAGGTCTATGGCGTAGACGAGGAATAGAAGCGGCCCAAGAACAG